TTGGTCTTCTCTTTTATTGCAGAAGCATGTGCACCGAATTCCCTTGCATCTTATAGCTGGAAAGTGGTATGAACACAAGAGAATTGACTGAGTCAAATTGCAGAATTTCGGCTATAAAACGCGCCTACACAAAACGCGGCATAACTCGCGTTTTGTCTACTCGCGTTTTCACTCTGGCCTTATTTCAACTGCAATTTTCTCCATGATGCAGGCCGAACTAGCTTTTGTACAAAACACAAAAGTTGTAGCCCTTTGAGTTAGCTTTCCAATGCTTCAAGAATCATCCAAATCGGAGCTTTGTACCCTGAGATATGATAGAAATACTGTCACCTGTTCAAACCTCTGTTTTAACTTCCGACCACAGAATGCAGCTTCTGTATTCCAACGTTTTGCCCATGAAGATGGCAGAAATGGATTTCGATGTCTCATACGAATTGTAGGTCTATTTCTTAGCTTTAAAATGGTATAAAGATCACCTCAATCCGATAAGTGTAGCTCCAGATATGGTCAAAATACTGAAGAGTGTCAAAACTGACTTGAAGTGCAATTCTTCATTTGAACGTTTTTCACTTCATTTTTCTTTTCACCACTTAATTTCATCACCAAATCTCTATTTTTCACCTCATTTGCCATCCTTTGGTGATTGAGTCATCATTCCTGCATAAAAATGAAGGTTTTACCATTAAAATCACTAAAAATGCAATATTATCCACTTTTACCAAAAATATATAATTTTACCAAAAACCTCTTTATTTTATTTATAAAACTAAATAATCAACTCAAAATTAACTAATAAAATGCACTTAAAAATACGTAAAATAAACTCTTATCAAATACCCCCACACTTGAATCATTACTTGTCCTCAAGCAATATAAAATTCTAACCATCAATGATCCAAAAAAATTGAAAATAAACATATGTAGTATTTCAACTCCATTTCCTTGAATCAAGGTAAATAACTCTTATGTGATCTTTCCATTAAGTTCAAGTACTCATTATATCAAGCAAAGAAGAGCCAAGTATACCATAATTTTACCAATTCAACTCAACTTCTTATTTTTATCCAATTTCGCAAGCAAGCAACTCCTATAGTCAATAAAAATGCTAACTAATCTCATGATCAACTTCTTATTTTTCTTAAAGAGGGATTTAATTAATTTTTTTATTTATTTATTTATTTATTTATTTATTTATTTTATATTTTAAGGGTTAAATATTACTTAAGTTGTGAAAAATGCCTTTTGACGCGAAGATCAACATTTTTAGATGCAGATCCCCGGTTACTCAACATTTCACATACTCAAGTTGCTTTGCATACTCTTAATTCAAGTACCTTTTTACGCGAATGTCGACATTTGTAGATGCCAACCCCCGGTTACTCGGTATGAGAATCATTGGAGTAGAATAACCCTTTTTTTTTTTAATATATATATATATAATAAAATTCCCTCTAAGAGTAATCATGAGAAGAGTATGACACTTATTAACCATATTAATTTCTTATCTTATAAAATTAGATAAAAAGAAGAATTTTCATCAAATATACAAAATGTAGGCATAATTTTCTCCATTTTACTAGATATACTTTCCTATAGATGTAAAAATTATAATCACATTAAAATCATTTCCAAATTTCATGAGAAAAGAAGTATCAAAACCGCATATATTTATTTTAAAAGGATAAGTGACAACATTTTATTTATTTATTATAGTTAATAACATATATGTGTATAAGGTTTTGGAAAAATTTTGACAGAATCTCCCCTTAAAAGTGGACTAAAACTCCCTGCCAGCAACCACAAGAAACACCATTTAAGCACAAGAATTATATCAAACACAACTAAAACCACAAGTATCACACATATTTCTCCCCCCACACTTAAATTACACATTGTCCTCAATGTGTAGGAAAGAAATGAAACAAAAGAAGAAAAGAAAAGAAAGAAGTACTCCCCAAGTCAATGGCTGAGATCCTTATCAGCCACTAATCACGAACCACTGTCAAAATACAAGTACCTACCACATAGAAAACAGAAAAATAAAATGAAGTTAAACATCTTAAGTTCCACAAGTTAAGATAATTAGGCAAGCAAGTTCATCAACTAAAGATAGCTTCTGCAGTGTGCCAAGTCAGTCATCCCCCTCAGCATCATCGTCATCCTGTGCATCACGATTGGGCGGTGGATGAATGCCCAAATGATCTTCAATTCGGCTTAGACGATTCCTAACGTCAGCGAACTGGAATGCAAAGTCCTCCATATGATCAAAAAGTCGCTGCCAATTAGTTTGTGGTGGAGGAGGAGGTGGTGCTGCAGTAGAAGGTCCAGCTTCATCCCGACCATGTCTAGCCTTTTGTCTCCGCTCCTGAACAGGGCGTGGAATGTCTCCCGTGCCAATACCAAGGCGGCGAAGAGTAGTGATAGTCATCTCAGCACGTGGTGGAACATACTCCCGCCGCATGCCTTCCAAGGGAACCTCAAAACGGGGAAAGATTAAAGTCAGTAGACGAGGAAATGATAGTTTGAAGGAAGTTGTCTTACGCCTCGCCGTAGACCTAATGTGGCTGATGATGATGTTAGGCAATGAAATCCGAGCATATGGAGATGTCCGGTTATGGAACATGTAATCCAAGAAGTAGATATCGCTCTTTCGGACCTCCGTGTGCCCCGTCTTCTTTGGGATGACATTGTGAGCCATCATGTAAATGATAAGACGATGACGAGGTTCGAATACATTCGCCAATATAGTCTCCTTTCTGGTAGAGCGAAAAGGTTGGTACTCGAGACCAAACCTAGACATGGCCAATGAGGGATCCCACCTCCTATTCGGGGGAACAAACTCCTTCTTCAAGTCTACTGGACGTCCGTCATCCATACACCCCAAAATAGCAGCCAAATCTTGCCGTGACAAGGTGATTCGTTTTCCACGCACCCAGGACTCAACTATTTCTCCACTATGGCGCGCCTTACTTTCAATGTTGGCGTAAAACTCGCGCACCAAGTCTGGGTAGTAATGGTTTGGAAGGGTGAGAATAGGAGCCCATCCTAGCTGAGCAAAAGCCTCTGAGATGTTGTACATCATCTCAACTGTTGGATTCACATGCATTTCAAACAGGAACTCCAAATTAGCACGCTCCTCATGCCATTCTTGATTCCTGCGAGTATTGAACCTAGCACTGTCAAAAATCGATCTACCCGCTTCACGGGAGGTGCCCTCACCAGGTCGACGGTTAACTGGTGGAGGAGAAGGTGAATTCTCCTCTTCAGTCACCTCCATCTCTTCATTAACCTCCCTCTCCTCACTACTAGAGGATGAAAGTACCGCTCTTCTTCCCCTTGGCATAGTACCTAAAAAATATTTCAATTATCCACATGTACTACAACTCATTATTTGGCAACAAAAGTTCAGCATTAATCCAAATAACCTCAAATACAATTGCTCAAGTTCTAATCATTCAATGATCGTACAAGACATATTTTATGCCTAAAGTTGCCCAAAATCACCAAATTACACAAGATATGTATCAATTATAATTTAATTAGTGAAAATAGGAACAATTATGATTATAACTATTTAGAATTAACAATAATAATATGCTTTTAGCTATAATCATGTTTAGGCAAAAATTAAACTAATTAACTCCCCAAATCAACCAAATTACTCACTATACACAATGCACATGCTTAAACATCATCAACTAACCATTTTTAACCATAATTTAACATCACCAATGGCTCGAAAACATCCTAGTTCCTTTTTCCAATTTCATCTAAATATAGCAATTGTGAATTTTAAAGTACTTGAAAACCAATAAATTGCTACATTTAAACATTTAAACATGCTTAAACAATCATAATAATCATGAATAAAATCAAAAATAGCCATGAACCTCATCAAATTTTCGAAATTAAAAGATGTCAGATAGCTCAGGATAAAAAATATGAACTTCTAAAATCAAAAGATTTGATGAAGAAACTTACCTCAATCACATAGAAGGATGTTTGGTGATGCTAAAAATGCAAAAATCCCTATGAAACAACCTCCAATTGACCTCCAATTGAAGAAATTAGAGTTTAAGAACCCTAACCTTCAATCCCTCAAAAACCTGATTTTAGGTGTTTTTCTTGGATTTTAATCGGTTAAAAAGGTTGTATGAACCTCAAAAGGTGTTGGGGTGATGATTTCTAGCAAGATTATGGAGTATAAATGAAAATTTGTGAGTTGGGTAGAAGGAAGAGGGAAAAACGCGGCTGGAAAAATTGGAGAAGTGAAGAAGAAAGGCTGAAATCGCGTTTCTGAAGGCTATATTCAGATACGGAAAACGCGACTAAAAACGCGCCTTCAACTCGCGTTTTTGAAGTCGCGTTTCCTGCACAAATCTTGCAGGAATGAAAACGCGACTGTGATGGAAAACGCGACTTAGAGTCGCGTTTCTGAAGTCGCGTTTTTGAGTCTTGATCCAGGCTTGAAAACGCGAGTTCCATTAAAACGCGACTTTGGGTCGCGTTTTTAAGGCGCGTTTTCTGTTCTGCAGGTGCAGAATTGAAAACGCGATTCCTAGAAACGCGACTTGTAGTCGCGTTTGCTTTGAAAACGCGTTTTCTGCTTCGATTTTTAGCAGAATTTCAACTTTTGAAAAATTACAAAAGGTACCCCAATGACTCAAAATGCATCATAGATCATTTGTTTGCCAATTTTAATGGCTGGAACAAATGTAAAACATTAAAAACACGCATTTTACCCCTTTACAATGAATCAAAAACACCTTTAATGCAAATCGAGGGGTTGAGTTGTTTGATCAAAGTTCGCCTTTTTTGTACTCAATTGGTCATCCTTGCCTTCAATTGCCAACCCTACATTACAAAAACAACAATTTAGCTAAAACATTGATTCAAACCACAAAATCACACCAAGTTAACAAATATAACCTAAATATTGGGTTGCCTCCCAATTAGCGCTTTTGTTTATAGTCGTTGGCTCGACTCACACATTCAGTTTCTTAAATTGAAGAAGAGTCGCCCAAAAGACATATGAGTCCTTTGGGTACGATTTCACCTGCCAAGTAGGGTTTCAATCGTTGTCCATTGACCTTAAACCTTTCATTTCTTGAATTTGCCACTTCAACCGCTCCATAGGGAAATACTTGAGTGACTTCAAATGGTCCAGACCACCTTGACTTCAATTTTCCTGGAAATAACCTCAGGCGTGAATTGAATAAAAGCACTTTTTGCCCTACCTGAAATTGTTTAGGAATAATGTGCTTGTCATGCCAATATTTGATCTTTTCTTTGTAAATTTTGGCATTTTCATATGCATGTAACCGGTGTTCCTCCAATTCACTCAGCTCAAGTAATCTCCTTCCACCTGCAAGATTAAAATCTATATTAATTGCTTTAATAGCCCAATAAGCTTTATGTTCAATCTCTACAGGTAAGTGACAAGCTTTTCCATAGACTAAACGATACGGCGACATCCCTAAGGGAGTCTTAAATGCCGTTCGGTAAGCCCATAGTGTGTCATCTAGCTTTGTAGCCCAATCCTTGCGTGATTTATTTACAGTTTTCTCCAAAATGAGCTTTATCTCACGATTAGCTAGCTCCGCTTGTCCATTGGCTTGAGGATGGTACGGGAGTGATGTCTTGTGCCTACAACCATATTTAAACAATAAGGAATCCAGTTGTTTGTTACAAAAATGTTTTCCTTCATCACTTATTATGGCCTTAGGTATGCCAAATCTACAAAAAATGTTCTTTTTAAGGAATCGGAGTACAACCTTAGAGTCATTAGTAGGTGAAGCGATTGCTTCTACCCATTTAGAAACATAATCCACTGCTACTAAGATGTACTTATTATTAAAAGAGCTTGGAAATGGTCCCATAAAGTCTATACCCCATATATCAAATAATTCAACTTCTAAGAAGGTAGTTAGGGGCATTTCATTCTTTCGAGATATATTTCCAGTTCTTTGGCATGCATCACAACTTTTAACATATTCCCGAACATCTCGATACATAGCTGGCCAATAAAACCCTGATTGCCATACCTTTGCCACAGTTTTTGAGGTGCTAAAATGTCCACCTGTTTCAAGGTTATGACAATGATATAAAATATTATGTACCTCGTTTTCGGGAATACATCTACGTACCATACCATCGGCACAATGTTTATATAGCAATGGTTCCTCCCAAAAGTAACTTTTGACATCATGTAAGAATTTCTTCTTTTGATGGTAATTAATTCCCTTTGGAATCTCTCCACTTACCAAAAAATTAGCAATATCAGCATACCATGGAGAATTGATAATTGCTAGGACAAACTCATCCGGGAAATTCTCTTGAATAGGAACTTGATCCTTGACTGGAATATATTCTAGGCGTGATAGATGATCCGCTACTAGATTCTCTGTTCCCTTTTTGTCTTTTATTTCCACATCAAATTCCTGCAATAAAAGAATCCACCGAATTAGTCTTGGTTTTGCATCTTTTTTATGTAACAAATATTTAAGAGCCGCATGGTCCGTATATATAATAACTTTAGATCCTACTAGATAAGATCTAAATTTATCCAAAGCAAATATCACTGCCAATAGCTCTTTTTCTGTGGTTGCATAATTGAGTTGTGCTTCATTTAGCAACTTGCTAGCATAGTAAATGACGTGCAACCGTCCTTCTTTCTTTTGTCCCAAAACTGCTCCAACCGCATAATCACTTGCATCACACATCAATTCAAATGGTAGTGACCAATCAGGCGAAGTTATAATTGGGGCCGAAATCAATTCCTTCTTCAACCTTTCAAATGCAACCAAACAATTGTCATCAAATTGAAAAGGAGTATCTTTACATAATAAATCACATAATGGCTTTACTATTTTAGAAAAATCTTTAATAAAACGTCTATAAAAGCTAGCATGTCCTAAAAAACTCCTTATCCCCTTGACATTGCTTGGGGGTGGCAATTTTTCGATGACTTCTATTTTGGCTTGATCCACCTCAATTCCCTTGGAGGAAATCTTGTGTCCTAAAACAATTCCTTCTTTTACCATAAAATGACATTTCTCCCAATTCAGTACAAGATTTGTTTCCTCGCATCTCTGCAAAATCAATTCCAAATTATGAAGACACTGATCAAAAGATGAACCATACACAGAAAAATCATCCATAAATATCTCCATAATTTTCTCAATATAATCAGAAAAAATAGCCATCATGCATCGTTGAAAAGTTGCGGGAGCATTGCATAACCCAAATGGCATTCTTCTAAAGGCAAAAGTGCCATAAGGACATGTAAATGTGGTCTTCTCTTGATCCTCTGGAGCTATAGCTATTTGATTATATCCTGAAAAACCATCAAGAAAACAGTAAAATTCATATCCGGCTATTCGCTCCAATAATTGATCAAGAAATGGTAGGGAAAAATGATCTTTTCTTGTTACCGTATTTAACTTACGATAATCGATACACACTCTCCACCCTACCACAAGTCTAGATGGAATTAATTCATCATTTTTACCCACGATTGTAGTCATTCCACCTTTCTTTGGTACCACATGAATTGGACTAATCCAAACACTATCGGAGATAGGAAAAACTATACCTGCGTCAAGCCATTTAAGAATTTCATTTCTTACCACCTCTTTCATGTTTGGATTGAGTCTTCTTTGTGTTTCCACCACTGGTTTGCAACCGTTCTCCAATAAAATTCGATGCATGCATATAGAAGGACTTATACCTTTAATGTCTGAAATTGTCCATCCAATTGCCTTCTTACGCCTTCTTAGAACTCTTAACAACTTTGCACACTGTTCATCATCAAGGTCAGCACTAACAATTACAGGTAAAGTTTTATTTTCTCCAAGAAATTCATACCTTAGATGAGTCGGAAGTGGCTTGAGCTCTAACTTTGGAGGTTCAATTTCTGAAGGTTGTGAAAACCCTTTTCCTTGGCCAAGACTTTCATACAAATTATCCCTTTTATAAGGTGCTTGAAAATCCAAGTATTTGGCCAATTCTTCAATTTCTTCACAAACATCTTCTTGCTTACCTAAACTCATTAAACAATACTCAAGAGGATCTAAGTCAAAGTTGACTTGACTCATCTCTTGGGTTAGTTTATCAATTGTGCCAATAGAATAAGCATGATCGGTAAAAGAAGGGTATTTTTCCATTTCATTCAAATTAAATTCTACCTCTTCTTCACCTACTTGAAACTTAAGCTTGCCATTTTTTACATCAATAATAGTACCTGCAGTAGCTAGAAATGGTCTACCTAGAATAATTGGCATAGATATATCTTCTTCCATATCTAATACCACAAAATCCACTGGAATGATAAATTTTTGAACTTTTATCAATACATTCTCCAACACTCCCAATGGATATCTAATAGACCGATCCGCTAGTTGCAAAGTGATATTAGTGCGTTTAAGCTCATGCAAACCCAATTGTCTAGCCACCGTTAAAGGTATTAATGATACACTAGCACCAAGATCACACAATGCCTTAGAAAAATCAACGTTACCTATGGTGCAAGGTATAGAAAAACTCCCCGGATCCTTCAACTTCGGTGGTAGCTTATTTTGAATAATTGCACTACATTCCTCCGTTAATGCTATTGTTTCGCAGTCTTCCAACTTTCTTTTTCTAGTCATGATTTCCTTGAGAAATTTCGCATAAGATGGAATCTGCAAAATAGCATCGGCAAAAGGAATGTTAATGTGCAATTGTTTGAAAAGTTTAACAAATTTTTCAAAATCTTTATCAAACTTATTTTGCTTTAATCTTTGTGGAAATGGAACCGCAGGGGGTATTGGAATGGTAGTGGAAGATGATGGTTGCTTTTCTCTTGGATTCTCCCGACTATTTTCCTCCACAATCGCCTCTTGGTTCCTCTGCTTTTCTTCTTGTTTTTCATTCTCATCTTTCTCAACTTCCTTCACTGGAGGATCTTCTAATTGTCTACCACTACGAAGAGTAATGGCTTTCACATGCTCCTTAGGATTGACCTCTGTTTTGCTAGGTAATTCTCCTTGATTTCGATTATTCAAAGAACTAGCAATTTGACCAATTTGGACCTCTACATTCCTGTACATTGTAGTGAGTTGGTCCAACCTTCCTTCTACTCGCTCAAATCTGTCCGAGGTAACTTTTGCAAGCTTTTCCACTGCCATCTCCCAACCAGGTTTAGTTTCAGCTTGTTGTTGCCTTGATTGAAATCCCGGTGGATTGGTTGGCCTTGGTTGATTTCCTTGATCCTTCCATCCAAAGTTTGGATGATTTCTCCACCCCGGATTGTAAGTATTCGAGTAGGGGTTATTTTGAGCATTACGATTGTAATTATTGACGAATTGTACCTGTTCAGAATCAACACACTCATTACTATCATGTTCACCTCCACATATAGAACAACATGCTACATGTGCATTAGATGAACTTGGACCAACTCCACCTTGTCTACTTAGCAATTTCATCACATTATTCATTTGAGCACTCAACATATTGAGAGTGTCCATTTCGATCATACCTGCGTGACGTCTTGTATTACCTCTCTCATTGGCCCATTGGTAGTTATTTGCTGCCATTTCTTCTATCAAATTATGAGCCTCTTGGGGTGATTTACCCATTAAAGCTCCACCTGCAGCTGCATCGATCATAGTTTTAGTAGAAAAAACTAAACCATTATAGAAGGTTTGTATGATTAACCATTCCGGCAGTCCATGATGTGGACATTTCCGAAGCAAATCTCTAAACCTTTCCCATGCCTCATATAATGATTCTCCTTCCAATTGGCTAAAACTAGTGATATCCATTCTAAACTTAGCAGTCTTACCTGGTGGAAAATACTTATTTAAGAATGCTCTTGATAGTTCATCCCATCCAGTGAAAGTATTAGGAGCATGAGAGTGTAGCCAAAGTTTGGCCTTATCTCTCAATGAAAATGGGAACAATCTTAGCCTTATGGCATCATCACTAACTCCATTCATTTTAATTGTATCACAAATTTCCAAGAATGTAGCCAAGTGTGTATTAGGATCTTCTACTGCATTACCTCCAAATTGAGATTGTTGAACCATTTGGATAAGTGATGGTTTAATCTCAAAATTGTTAGCATTTACCGTAGGCCTTACTATGCTTGTTTGAGATCCTTGTGTTCCCGGTAGAGTATAATCTCGTAGAACTCGCCTATTTGGGTCATTTTCGGCCATCTCTTCCGCAAATGGTAGTTCTATCAAAATTTCCTCTATCGGTTGCCAAATCTCTTGTTCCTCTTGCTGTTGTGTGTGCCTCCTTTGTCTATGTAGTGTCCTCTCAATTTCTGGATTGAAAGGTGCGACTTCTCGAGACTCCCGGTGCATACACTACAAACAGAAATAAGGGATATTATGCAACTTCAATGGTAAAAAAAAAACTGATTACAATACAAGATTAAATATAATCTAAAAAATAAAGCTGTCTAAATTAATAAAGATGATTAGGCTCTAATATTGCCGCTCCCCGGCAACGGCGCCAAAAACTTGACGGGTTTTTACTTTAAGTGCAAGTTTAATTCCGAATTTACACCAGTTGGACTGCAAGTATACAGGTCGCAATTGTAGTACGAGATGTGTATCGGGTCGATCCCACGAGGAGCAATTTAAAACAATTATTAGATACTAATTTACTCTATTATTTAGACTCACAATTAATTTGAGCAGAAACTTCAGATTTTAATTCAACTACAAAAATTCTTAAATAGATAAATGCAATTTCACAATAGGAGTAGAATTCACTAAATATTAAGATCTAGGGATGTAGATTCCACTTATGACACAAAAGATCTAAAATGAATTAATTCAACACTTGTTACTGCTCTTGTTTAACCAAGGATTCATTTCCAGAAATACCAAAATCACATTCTCATGATAATAATGGGTTAAAACAGATTAGTTTTTCCTAATCTCTTGGTAAATACTAAATCTGTTCTTATTCACACATGAAATGCAGATTTCATCCACTTGAATGTATTTCTATTCTCATGAATATACTACTCAAGCTCTACTTATGTCATTCCATTATTTTTACCATTTCTCAATGAGTAAAAACAACTATAAACCTGCTATTGGTGATCAAGCAACAACAAGTAATCCAACATACACAAGTAGATAAGTTAATACAAGACATAACAAGAATGAATAACAATCACTTCATATCATTTGGCCATAAGCTTCATCTACTCCCTAGATAAAGAAAATTAGCTACTCATGAATGATAAAACACTCATAACTTCATTAATGTAAATCATCATGAATTACAAATACAAACAGAGTAAAGAAAGTCTTAGCCAAGATATGGTGAAGCCTTCCAAAAATCTCCTTTGTCTTGAACTTAGATGATTACAAGATGAAATCCCAATTGCCCCTTGCAAGTCCTAAGTAGAGAGAATATGTTTTTCTGTAAGAAGCTAAGCTACGAATGGATCCCAGACCTCTCCCCATATTTCTGCATAAAAGGTGGTAGAAATTCCATTCCTCTCACTTCATAATTTCCTCCACTCAGATTTTGTAAAAAGAAGTCAAAGATATGATGTTTCCTTTTGTCCACACTCATTTGGTCTTCTCTTTTATTGCAGAAGCATGTGCACCGAATTCCCTTGCATCTTATAGCTGGAAAGTGGTATGAACACAAGAGAATTGACTGAGTCAAATTGCAGAATTTCGGCTATAAAACGCGCCTACACAAAACGCGGCATAACTCGCGTTTTGTCTACTCGCGTTTTCACTCTGGCCTTATTTCAACTGCAATTTTCTCCATGATGCAAGGCCGAACTAGCTTTTGTGCAAAACACAAAAGTTGTAGCCCTTTGAGTTAGCTTTCCAATGCTTCAAGAATCATCCAAATCGGAGCTTTGTAGCCTGAGATATGATCGAAATACTGTCACCTGTTCAAACCTCTGTTTTAACTTCCGACCACAGAATGCAGCTTCTGTATTCCAACGTTTTGCCCATGAAGATGGCAGAAATGGATTTCGATGTCTTCATACGAATTGTAGGTCTCTTTCTTAGCTTTAAAATGGTATAAAGATCACCTCAATCCGATAAGTGTAGCTCCAGATATGGTCAAAATACTGAAGAGTGTCAAAACTGACTTGAAGTGCAATTCTTCATTTGAACGTTTTTCACTTCATTTTTCTTTTCACCACTTAATTTCATCACCAAATCTCTATTTTTCACCTCATTTGCCATCCTTTGGTGATTGAGTCATCATTCCTGCATAAAAATGAAGGTTTTACCATTAAAATCACTAAAAATGCAATATTATCCACTTTTACCAAAAATATATAATTTTACCAAAAACCTCTTTATTTTATTTATAAAACTAAATAATCAACTCAAAATTAACTAATAAAATGCACTTAAAAATACGTAAAATAAACTCTTATCAAAACAAATCCAGAAGGAATCATTTACTGAATCAATCAATAGAGGGCCCTAAGTTGGACCACAAGTCAGCGCAAATTCCAGTCTCTAGCTGCGCAGGTCTTGATTTTCAGCAAATTTTGTAAATTTTCTGGTATTAATAGACAACGAATCAGAGCTTGGATTTTATATTGTTGAACTATCTCTGAATCTAGTTTCTAACAGAATTGTACTTCATCCAATTTCAATATTTTCATATCAAGTTATGGCCAACTTACTAAAGCTGCGCAAAGGTGACTGTTAACCTTGAGGTTAGTTAGAACTCAAGGTTTCTTGGCCATTAACATTTAAAATCTCTTCAGTTTCATGCATATACCCACATCAAATGCTTGGTTTCAAGTTAATAACAACATATGCAAAAAATCATAGCCATAAAATTGGTTTATAGTTGTCCAGCTTCAATTTTCCCAACTAGTAGTTATCAACTCAACTTTGGTTCATAAAGATCACCAAATCCTATTAAGTTCCACTAATAAAATTCAATTCTACACATTAGTTACCTCAAACCAAGTGAACTCTGGTGGATTTGGACCCCTAGTTGCTCCCCCAGAGTTGTTATGTTCTTCCCTCCATTTCTTTCTACAAAATGAGAGCACAAAGTCGATACATAGGAGCTCCAAGTGGTAGAGAAGATATATATATCAAGGCAATTTGTACTTTGGTTCTCAAACTCTTGATACAATTGTAAAAAATACCTCCCTCACTTATACTAATTCCAATTTCGGCAATAATATTTTGGGGAGTGAAGTCTGGATATTACATGGACACTTACAAACTAATGAAGGAAATCTTAGAATCTTGTGGTAGGATTTGTTTTTTTATTTTTTCAAGGCAAGAGGTGGGATTTTGTTTATGCTGTTAGCACTCACCAGATATAAGTTAATACTATTTTTTCTATGAAAATGTTTGGAAGCAAAGACAATGCTTTGCTACAGTAGTGTGGAATCCAAGATATAATATAATCACGTGATGTTATTTGGACTTGTCTCTTCTTCCCTCATGTCCTTTGTCATTAAGATATAGCAAACAAAATGTTACGGAAGGCCCTGCTTTTGGCAGATTAGAAATGTTCGGGAGAAACGCTTCGAGAGAGCCTATTAAAAAGTCTAATATATAAGTCAGAAATTTAACTCTGATTCAAAAGTTTAAACTGTTAGGTCTCGAGCTCTTATTTACATATTAAGTACTATTTTCCATCTCTCGAGTCAATTCTCCTCTTTCATGAGTAATCCTTCACATTAAATCCAAGTTTACAAACTCTTCTCCGATCCGACTTTAATACTCAACACAAGGAAGAAACGCCTCGAGATAGTCCATCAAAGAACTCAATACGTAAATCAGGAGCTCAATTTTGACTCAAAAGTTTAAACTGTTAGGTCTCAAGGCCTTATTTACATAATAACCAATCATGGACCACTTTTCTTCAAAATTCAAACTGGATTTTTTGGACATTTGCCAACCCTTAACTCCTTGGTCTAATACTAACCGGACCTCCTACCAAACTCATGACGCACCTGATCCAACAAGAGTCGAATTCTTTAGCACTTTGGCACTTTGATCCACCACTAAGAAGAGAATTTTCACCGGTCCAACTCCGAGAAGAATCAACTTGCCCATGAGTAGCCCAATTTCATAACCTAAAACTCTAATACCACTTGTTAGGAAGAAACGCCTCGAGAGAGTCCATCAAAGAGCCCAACATGTAAGTCAAGAACTCAATTCCAACCCAAAAGTTTAAGTTGTTAGGTTTCGTGCCTTTATTTACATACTAAGTGCTCTTTTCCATTTCTCGAATGAATATGAGACATAATTCTTTACTCATGAATCTAATAAGAAATTTTCAGCCTTTTTTATGCAAAAAAACTGTGCTGCTGTTTGGATACAATATGAAAGAAGTGATTGCACATTTTAGCTAGTTAAATTGTAAGTATATTTTACAAACTGCATGGCTTGGAGGAATTCATATGGCTGAAAAAGAAAAAGAAATATTGCATTATACACTAATTGTATACTAAAGAGAGTGCGGATATGGTAGATTTTCGTCAAGAAATCAAAAGTTTAATCATTTGAAACATTGAATGCAAATTATTTACTTATCAACCCTGTTGCACCACAGTGAAGGCCCAAAGATCAAGTCATGAAATTGTGCGAGTCTCTATTCATGTGCGCGGAGCTGGATTTCTATCCCATTCTACACCATTTCTTTGATTCAGTTCCTACAGTGTTGGAAGTTTTTCTCCCTCGTGTTAGCATTCATATCAACGACTAGTTTTGGGCCCGTGCATTTGCACGGGATGATGTTGAAATTGATCTTCTATAGCATTCTATGTGAAAATTGATCTTCTGTATAATTCTATTCTATTATGTTTGTTAAATTAGAGATCAAAACTAAGTATCTTCTAAGATTACTGTTAACATAAACTAAGGAGAAAGCATAAAATTTTCATTAACCAATAAGGAGTTTGGATAAAGAGAGAGAACTTGATTTGCATAATAGTAAAGTATAACTGTATAAGGGCTTGCTAGATCAGTGCAAGAATTGCAAACATTTACACTGTAGCAGTCAATATATATTTTAACTGGGTTAATTTCACTTTATCCTCTCGAACTATACGCGGTATCCCATTTTGGTCCTTAAATTTCAAAATCGGACACTTTACTCCCTAAACTTTCAAAATCATACCACTTAAGCCAAAATATTGATGGAATCCAAAAAACTAATGGTTTGGATCGAGAGTGTGGGCCACATGTGCCCTTGTGCAAGGGCATTATAGGAAATTCAAGGAAAATGTCTCAAAAAAAACGAAAATGGGAAGGAAATTAGGGATATCATCAAGGACGGAAACTTTCCCTCTACTTAACCTATACGTGTGGGTCATTGATTTAAGAGTTACCCGATCAAAGTCATAAACCCGATCCAAGACATAAAAAATCTAGGATCGTCTTTCTCAAACAGAACATTTTTCTCTCTTGCATTGTTGCAGTAGAAGAATGAAGAGGAAAAAGGCCTATGAACTTCGTTCAGCAAAAACCCTTAGGGATGGGAAAAAAGGAATTGCAATTGTGGAAAAAAAGCACTACCGATACACATCATGGACAAGCATAAACCCTGACAGAACATTTTATCGATGTGCCAAGTAGGGGGTACGGTCAATTGGGGTTAACCTTGTACTATCCTTTGAGTTTTTTTAATAGGTTTAGTGTTTCAAATAGTTTCTAATGTTTGATTAGGAAATTGGAGGCTGTTGATATTAAGATTGGGTTGATCCTAAAATGAGTCAACGGGTAAAGGAGATAATACCTAGCCTATTGAGATCGATGAACAAGATGGAAGCTGAGATAGCCGGCTTGAAAGAGAACTCAAGGTGGCCGCAAGGAAAAGCGAGGGAGGCTGAAGATGTACATCATCTTCCAGTGGGTATACATTGAAGTGTGGTTTCTACTGGCAAAACTTGAAGTAAAAAATGACCACAGACATTGAGAAGAAGAAGCATTATGATATATGAAGTAGTTTGTTTAGGATAAATCTAAGGTTAGTAGACTATGTATTAACATATTTTAAAAGAATGAACTCAGGTAGTGTTGCTGTAATGTTTTGCCTTGTTTTGTTGTATGATTTGCTGCAAAGCTGTTTACTCGGATGAAATGTAATTTTGCTATCACATATAAGATTATGAGGTTAGTTTCTAAGTGGGCTTTGATTGACTGGAATCTTGTGTGAAATAGCCAAAAAATGTGATAGTAGTAATAATGAGCAACTGATATTTGAACTGGATTAAGCCAACTGTGATAACATATCATTCTGAGAAGAAAAAGACATGTTCAACGTTTACCCAAGCTATAACAGCAAACAAAACAAATACTAGTAGACTAGTTCATCCAAAAACAAAAATAGCAGAACCTTTTTTTGACCACAAAACTAATTCAACACAAGACATTTAGTGGTCCTAAATGAACAAAAAGACCCACCACATGACTTTTTGGCACCAGAACTTCGATTTCACAACTTACCAAATTCATTCCCTTCTCCATGGAGCTGCACATTCCCAATTCCACCTAAATGCATGTTATGGCCCGCAGCAGCTTGTAGAGTAGATACGTTAAAACAGATATTGCCATTCCACATGAAAGGTGCTGGTTGAATTAATGGTTCCACTTTATGAGCTCTATCTTTATCAGCCTTTTTTTTTTTGTTCCAACTCTACATCTTTGTCTTTTTCCACATCAGCAGAACTTATGTTATTAAAATTTTCTGGTTCCATTGCATGATCATTTTTGCTGTCAGTTTCGTCTGCCTTGTTTAATTCCACATCTGGTGGAAATTCCCCTAATACCTCCGCGTCACTTGTGGTATCAGCCGAAACATCTATTTGTTCAGCCTCTTCCTTAGCCTGATTTTCATGAAAGTTATCTCCTTGCTGATTGGCTCCATCATTAGGATCTCGGGAATGGAAATTCATCACCTTTCCTGTCCCTCCAACTATAGGTGGCAAATAAACCCATTTAACTAAATTTATCCATATCCGTCCATGAATAAATGAGTATGAATATCTTAAATTTTTCCATGTGAGTATAAATGGATTATCCAATAATACCCATTTATTAAATGGATATTATTGGGTAACCCATCAAATCCATTTAAAATTGTCTTTCCCCAAGTCTTCACTTTTCCCCCACCCATTTTTTTTTTCAGATTTTTCATTTTGTCATGATGTTAACTACTTTTGTTTCATTATTATTATTATTTGTTAGTTTTATCTTATCATTTTATTTTATCTTAGTTTGTTAACTTACTCATTTTTCAACATTACCAATTTATGACAAGTTTTAACCTCTTTTCCTACCTTTCCAAAATGAAATTTTAAATTTACACACGAAAAAATGCTAGGAATTCAAAATTTTTGGATTAAATTTTTATGTTAACTTTTATAGTATTTAGTTCAAATTTTTATATTCTTGTTGTTTAATTATTAAATAATATGCAATTTTGCGACATAAAGTACGGATGGGTAAAAAATTGGTAATGAGGCTTATTGAGTATTATAAATAAATATTTAAAACTAATGATGGGTGCAAAGGGTGGTATAGATTGATAACCTAGTTTGCAAAAATGAATTTAAATGAGTTTATAAAAAGTTAAAATAAATGGGTTATAAATGGGTAATTGGGTTAGCCAATTCATTTTTGAAATTACTTATTTATACACATCTAATTAAATGGGTATAAATGGGTTGACTCACTTATACCCATTACCCATTTTAACCAACCCAAACTCATCCAAATCACCCATTTTGACACCCCTACCTCCAACCCTTAAATACATTTCTGCAACCCTATTTGGAGGTAATGTATTCACTATTACCTCACAATCTCTGTCACACATGCAAAATAATAGTCCTGTGTCCAATGGCATGATTGGAAGTTTACAGTACCACCCAAAACCTGCATTTTTAGGGCACCCCACTCTCTTTGTACACTTATCTAGTACTTGTAATGACCATTTGTACTTTGCCGCCTAAAGTTACTTTTTTCTCACTTTATCCCTTAAACCGTCAGTTGACTTTAACGTTGTGTAATGGTAATGTCAAAAAGACATATATATCCTTAATAGTTAAATGCAGTAATTCCCCTAACTTATTTTGCACTTTATCGTCTAACATCATTTTTTTTCAATTTGTTTGTTTGTCACTAAAATCATTAGTCAACTTCAATATTTTATAACACTTAGGATAAATAATGTCTAAAAAATCAATATTCCTAATACGATAATAAAAAATAATATATTTATAGATATGGCCCTAATTGAATTTCATCCCATAATTATACTTTTTCAAGATTGAGAGAAATATCTTGCTGATTTCATGTAATAATGGAAAAAATAATAAACATTGTTATTGAAAAATATATATGCAAAATTATTATTAAAAGACTAAAAATGCTCGAATATTGTCAGTTTCTCTTTATAAATCTGCATATGGTTGCGCTTTTCTTTTAATAGTTAGATATTTTCTTTATATGGGAGAATACATTTTTTTTTTCATTCGTAATACTTAGAAAAGAGAGAAACATAGTTGATTTGGGGTTCCAAATTTTTGGGTTCATTTCTTTTAGCACAACATGATTAGATGCTATTAAAAATTGTTTGGATTGCTAAATTTTTCTAAAAATCTTTTTGTTGCATCATAGGCACGTTTCTCAATCATCTTTTTATTTTTTTTTAACCACCTTTTTAGTTTACAAATATCAAATCACAAAAAAGTATTAGAATATTATTTCTAAAAAACATTCCAAATAATCTTCAATCCAAACAAATCTATAGAACTTTAATAATATTTTTATTGTTTATTTTTCACTAAATAATTTTGTTTTTTCCTCTTATCAAATAAAATGAGCAGGATATTTTCCTCTATCTAAAAATTTGTAACTATGGAGATAAAATCTAACAAGAGTTATATCAATAATTTTCATTATTATGTTAGGGATACTGAAAATTTTTAAACATTATCCGTCTTAAGTGGTTTTAAAGATAAACAGACAAATTAAGGGAAAATAATATTAGAGGGATAAAGTGAAAAATGGGCAATACCTTAAGGAGATTTATTGGAATTAATCCCTAGGGGCATACATGTCTTTTTGACATTTCCGTTACATAATGTTAGAGTTGACTAATAGTTCAGGGGAAAAAGTGAGAAAAATAATGTTAGGGGTTAAGCGTAAAAATGGTTAATCCTTAAGGGGAGTTTTTGTGATTAACCCTTTATATTCTAAGGGTATGGAGAATTGCAATTTTGGCACCTCATGTTGACCTGTGTGCCAAATTAGTCCCTAATGTTTCCGCCAAAATAAATCTAGTCCCCAAAGTTTGTGATATTAGGTAGATTTATGATAATTAATGGAAATGAATTGATAACTAATGGTCAACATCAAATTACCATTAATTTGTAACTTTTACTTTGCACTTTTTGGTTCCCATTGTTTTAATTTTAAATTATTGTGTTTCTTTAATTTTTAAATAATGATATTAAGGGTTTTAGCGTGAATTGAAATGCATATTAAAATGAAATAGTATTAAATGGGTAATAAGAATTCTAATTAAACTTCTTTTTTCTACTTCTTTTTTTAACTTTATTTCATTTATTCATGCTGATAATGTATCATATGTTTCTTTTCTTGTGTATAGTTAGTCTCAAATTTGGTATTATTTCATTTAATATCATTTCATTCTAATTTGCATCACAATTCATACTAAAACTTTTAATATTACTATTTAAAAAGTAGAGAAATATAATGATTCAAAATCAAAGCATTAGGAACTAAAAGTGCAAAGTTAAAGTTGTTAACTGCTAGTCATGATTCCATTTCCATTAGTTCTTTTAATTTACCTAAAATCACAAATTTTGGGGATTAAATTTGTTTTGGCCGAAATATTGGAAATCAATTTGGCAAGAAACCAAATATTGAGGACCAAAATTGTAATTCTTTGTTATGGATGCTTATTGCCAACTTGTATTGATTGCGGCTCCTTCTTGTGGGAAGACTCTGTTTCTGATTTGCGATCCCGTACGCTACGTTGGCAATCGCAATATTTTAAGTGTTAAATACTGCTGAACCCAAAATATTCTATCAAAAGATACCTTTGTGTGGTCTGAAAGTCAGCATGCCTTTTGGGTTGGGCTGTTGGTTTGGCTTAAGTTCTGGGTGTGTGTGTTATTTGCGGTTGGTTGAGAGAAAAGGAATTGCGGAGTGGATAAAAGCCGTTGGTGAGCTGTAACAGGCAATAGTCTTGGTGTTTCCCCTCCCCCTTTCCTTCCATCCCACATCGATTGTGAGTGGTGTGTGTGCGTAGAACTTAAGTTCCTCAGTGTGGCCTGAAAGTCAGCATGACTTTTGGGTTGGGCTGTGGGTTTGGCTTAAGTTCTGGATGTGTGTGTTTTTTGCGGTTGGTTGAAAGATAAAACTAATATATTTTTTATCACTTTTAAAAAACTAATGTATATCAGAAGGCAAATTACACACATAAAAATATATGTAAAGAAAGAGAAATAAATCAACCATATAATATCAATAACACCATAAGAGCAACAAGGCTCTCAAACTTTCACTATTTTCATGATAATAATAAATCTATCTATTTATAGATTAGATGACTTGGTAAACAAGTTTTACAGTCACAAGAAATTTTTTAATAAAATGTTAATTCTTAAATAATAAAACTACCATAACTTGACTCCAATAAAAGTACTAAAACATTAATTTGGCTAAAACACTGCTAAATAATAATATGAAAATTTCTATCTATTAGCCTTAATTTAATATATCAACATTGTCTCCCTTAAATCAAACTGCCTATTGAATTAGGTTCACCGTAATCAAGATCAATAATCTCTCTTACAAATTTAGTCACATCACTTTGTATTGGTTCTTTAACTTTAAATATTTTTCTCATTTCAATAATCTACGCACCTTCATAGACTGTTTTCGTCGCACAATTTGATATCAATTTATTGACAACTCTTTTCGTAATTTTAATAGTCACAATTCAATTGACAGTATTTTTCTCCAATCTCTATCTTCACAATCACAATTAATTTGACAATTCTTAAACCAATCTCATGACCCAATTTTCAACAACCGGTTATTCCATGACCAATCTTGTGATCTAACTCAATCAGTTGACTTCTTCCAAGCAATCCTGTGCTCCAAATCTCTAACAGTGAAAATGTTCAGGACTAGTTTCGTAAAACTATAAGAGATAAATTTCATAAAATTAATATTTATGAGAAGGCAAATTATACACATAAAAATATATGTGGGAGAGAAGAGGAATAAATCAGCTATATAATATTAATAACACCATAAAAACAAGACTCTCAAGCTTTCACTCTTCTCAACTTACGAGAATAATACAATTCTCTATTTATAAACTAGATGACTTGATAAACAAGTATTACAATCATAAGAAATTTACTAGTAAAATATTAATTTTTAAATAATAAAACTACCGTAATTTGGTTCCAATAGAATTACTAAAACCTTAATTTACTAAAATACTACTAAATAATAAGATGATAATTTCTATTTTTTAATCTTGATTTAAAATGCTAACATTATTATCAGCAGAATTCGGATTGTTTCGTGCGGGCTGCAGAATTCGGAGTGTTAAAGACTATTATTATGCAATACTATAATGCAAATGGTAGTAGTATTTGCTCATGGAGCCATGGTAGGATCCCTTCAATTTCCAAACCGTGTCGAAGGATTATAACCTTCCAGTTCCCCTTGGAAGATACCATTCGCATTTCTACATTAACACGGACAGGTTGTAGTGTAAATATCAGGTTATAGTACCGTGGCCATGGATGAAATGACGGAGCCAGGATTTTTTTTTTGGGGGGGGCCAAAATTTTTTCCTAATAAAATTATCTTAATATATTATGTTCAAAATAATTTTCTTCTATTT